TACACTTAAATGAAAAACATCAGAACACTACTCTAGAGCAATGCTCTGGTTTGAAACCAGGAGCTGTTGTTGAGGTGGGTTGGTTTCGCGCAAGGTTGATTCTATCCCATCAAGCAGCCCCTTCACCACTTACCAGTCTAACAGACCACTGAGGAAATGTATCAAGTAAGCATAACTAAGCCTCTTACTCATCTCCAAACTTTACCCACAGTTCTAGTTAAGAAAAAGAAGACTGCGGCCACAGGTTGTGTGTGAATTATTCCAAAACAAAATGACATCACTTAGAAAAATTCTTCGCCGTTACCAAAGATAAGAGGGAAAGAATGGAAATGACACATGGAACAAAGGGACTAAGTATTAGTGACAGCAAAGGCCAGAAGATAGATGTGCAGTGCCACTCCCTCACACAGATTACTACCAAAGCATTAAGGATTAATGATGCAGGAATGACAGGGCTGGAAAGGGAAGGATGGAGGCCTGCATATGGGATGAGTGTATGCGAGGGAGCATCACAGCAAAGCCAAACTCCATATGTCAGTAAGAAAGGAATAATCTTTGGTGCAACAGAACCAGCTGAGGGAAGAATTATTAACATATGAAGATACTAAGCTACAGGAAAGGGACCACAAGTGGTAAACCCATGTGACTGATTAGCAGGTACTAGAAACAAGAAGGGGATCCAGTCCTCCCACCTTCTCCCTAGTACTCCAGGGTCACGTGTAGCATCCCCAGTAAATCAGAACCCTGACAAGCCTGAAGGCCACTGCAGGACATCACTTGTAACATATTCTTTGCCCACCTCTATTGTCATGGGTGAAAAGAAGACTGCACAGACTGAGAACAGGTGCAAGTTCAACTTGAACTAAATCACTTCCAGTGGCAAGGCTATCTCCATCTAGCAAACTCCAGCCCACACTGCCATGAACATGCACATGCTTGCAGACACGTGTCCATGCAGAGAGCTACCAGTTGTGGAGAGGGATAGAATCAGACAGTGACAGTGTGAGGGGTGGGAAGCAAGAGCAGCGAGTGACTGACTCAAGCACTGGAGCTGGAGGCTTGTTATAACTTCTAAAGTGAGTGCCAGTGGTCATGAAGAACTCCCCCTCTCTCTGTAGCATGTGCCCCACCTCCTGAAAGAATCTGGTTAGTGATTCCATCTAAAACCCAACACCTGCACACCAGATATCTAGGTGCACACAGCTGCACTGTTGATCTATTGGCAGGGCACACCACATGCCTCAACCTCCTGCACACAGGGTGGGAAGGCAGTGCAACCCATTACAAGGCAAGCACATGGCACAATTAACAGCATGTTCCTGTTTCCTTTTGCATGGCTTTTCCTTTTCCTTTTCCTTCCCACCCCCACAGCCCTGGTCTTTTTTCATCCAGGCCTTGCTGCTGCTACTGCAGCAGAGATGTTGCTATTGCTCAGAGAAACAGGGAATTCCTGCTGCTATGGAAAACTCTTGCCAAACTAATGGAAAAAATACATTCCAGCTGCTCTTATTTTAGACTGAGTGGAGTTTCTTTTGGTGGAGGGGATCCTTCAGAGCTACAGCGGGCCTAAAGGAGAGAGAGAGGACAAAAGAAAGACCCAACAGTCACACTCTGTGTGAGGTGTAGAGATGACAGGAGCAATACTTATGCCCAGCAATATCATGCATCTCCAAAAATGAACACCATTAACTTGCAAACTGTTTCACTGCAGTTCCTGACCCTACACATATCACACACCAGTCCCTAATCTTGGCATATTTACACACGCACACAGGCATATAAACCTGTAAACTAGTTCATTGTAGTTCCTGACATCAGCTCTGATCAACACACGTGTGATTTTATATTGTGTATATTTAATTTGTGTATATGTGTGCATATATAAATGTACATACAGTGCAATCTATTATTAGCATGTTTAAGTGCATGAACTGTGTGAACACGCAGGAACTCTTAGACCTCACTGTCTATTTTCCAAATTAATTGTACTCCAGTTTACTGCATAAATGGTGAAAATGCCTAGGAACTGTTAATTTTGAGGCTTCTAAAACACACTTGAAGGGATCAGATACATTTCCATGTCCATTTCCAGGATGTTACTGGAGCCCTCTGAGAAATAAGGTATGATGCCTTAATGAGGTTGGAAAAGCCTAGAGCAGGCAGATCCTGTAGCTAGCAAGCATTGCTTACGCTGAATTTGGGTAAGTGCATAGCCTTCTATCAGTCCTGAGGCTTTTCCGTTGGAGTACACTGTACTAGACCTCAGTCTCAATGGCTGGCTGTATTTATATCACACCTGACCCAAGTCTTCATTAGTGTTCCTACATCAAACCAGATACCCATCATGGGCAGCATAACCGACCTACCATCAAACATGTGACTCATTCCCAAAGGCAGTCAGGTCACACCTTCACAACAGCATGCAGACCCATCTGTCCTGTTTTCCTTCTACATGATGATCTCCCCATCCACAGCAGATTTTGGCCTCAGCTAGAGATTGGCAATGTTTTCCAGAAGAGGGCCAGAATGACTCAGCTTTGGTCTGAGGAGGGTGGGTGCTAGCACCTGTCTACCTCTTTTTCCTACTGGCAGCAGAGCCAGAGCTCTCCCTCTGCTGAAGCCCCAGTGCCCGATGGTGGCCTGGCGCAGGCAGAGCCCCCAGATGCCAGAGGTCATAGAAGTCAAGGTTCCACGGGCCAAATCCAAAGGTCCACAGGCAGTAGGTTATTGACTCCTGGCCTAAGCTGTCAGTCCCTGCTGGGAGTTCCTTGGCCCATACCAAAGAAGCCTGCAGCTTTGGTTCCCACAAGTGTCTGCATCACAAAAGCTGCCAACATGTCAGACACCCTTGTTGGCAACCTTAGCAGAGAGGCTGAGAACCTCAGGGCTGCAAGCCAGTTTTCCCCATGTTGCTAGGAGGGGTGCCTCCAAATCAGGCTGTGGCTTCAGGCATGAGAGAAGCTGGCCCAGATGTTGCTCTCAGTGCTCACCCCACTCTGTCTAATAAATAGAGACTTTATATATCCATGGATGTCAAGGCAACACCTTTCATTGGTACAAACCTCAATGACATAAGTGAACTGTGGAAAGCTTCTTGGAAACACTCAGCCTGCAAACCCCTTCACTTCTCTCCCCTTGCTGCAGTCAGCTGGCAAAGAGCTGGCTAGCGGGAAGGTGTCCCCCAGCACAGGTGCAGAGTGAGGATCTCCCATTGGAGTCCCCATCTGTAGGATTCCTTTCTTCCTGCTACAGAAAGACCAGGCTGGGCCCCTTTGTGTGCAGCAATAGTGCCACCCAGTGGTCGCTAGCCACGGATTCCCTCCGGCCAGGCCTCCCATGGGGTTCATTGGACAAACACCAGGAGGAACTTTGCCGCTGTGCTCTGTTGAAGGGGACTCAGTGAGGGAGCCTGCCAAATGAGGCTGGGAATGTGGGAAAGCGGCAGTGGTTAACTCAAGTGGGAAAGAATGGGAAAAGCCCCCTGGCCTACAGAAGAAAGGAATGCAGCAGGGTTTTTTTAAAGGAGCCCTATTCGCTCAGGACATGCCCCAAAAGAAGCCTTTCAACTGCTCGCTTTACTTAGCCCAGAACCAGCTGATGAAAGGAAACATAAAAACTGGATAATAGTCTAAGCTAAAGAGTCTGGAAGGGATCCAGATTTGGATCTGAACTTCCCCAGCACTGAGTGATGTTTGGGCTTGGAAAGAAGGGGTTGTTTCAGGCCCATCTCTCATGAAAACAGGCAGTATTTCATTAAAGGGATCCCACAGAGATGGCATGGTAACTGGTTAGATTAACTCCAGGTGTCATGGCCACAGCTGCCACCTGCCACAGCTCAGACAGCTGGAAATTAGATGAGGTTTGATTCCTGTATGTGCATACTATTCTTCATATATTCCTAAATGGCAAAATTTTTACTGTAATGATGATGGCTATAAAAGCAGAGGAGTGCAGGGGAGAGGTCAGCTTGCTCTAAGCTGAATAGACAGACCAACCCGCTTGTATACAGTAAGAACTGATCCATATCCTCACTCAAAACTGTTTAATAGTTCAAAATGTTTGATTAATCCTTCCCACCACTCTTTTGCCATTTGAAATGCAGTCCTCCTCTCCTGCATCCTCCTTCTCCCCACCCCTGCCAGGTCTGGGATTTCCAAAAGATCAGGATGGATGTTAGCCTCAGAGTGTTCCTGGCCCAGATGGTACAGAAGTCGTCAAACCTCACAAGAGGGAGACTTTTCCTAACAGGTCTCTGAAGCTACAAGGCATGCAGAGTTTTTGGAAGATTCAGAGAAGTGCCCAAACCTTCTAGGGGTGGGTCCCTTACTTCAGAGTAGGAACAGAGCTCATATACCCAAGGGGCAAGTTCAGTGCAACTCCCCAAAGGGAAAGATCAATACTTCTGTTTTCAGGCAACACAGCAGCCCATTGGCATCTGTCTGGCCTTTCATCCATAGAGACCATCAGCCCTGGCACGGCTCCTATTGCCTGGTAGCCCTGGTGGCAGGTCCAGCCATTCTCCAGGACACACTGGCTAAGGGGCGCCTACAGGAAGCTCTGGGACCCTGCAGAATTACCTTGGGGAACCGTGTCTCCGCGTCCCCTGAGGAGCAGGCTCCAGCCCCCACAGCTCCGCACCTTGTGCGCTCACGGCCACCAGCCCAAACAGCTCTTCTGTGCTGCAGACTAAGAATGGCCAGGCCCTCCGTGCCTCGCACTGGGGCAAATGCCAGCACAAGGTAACCCACGGTGCCACTTTGACCCTTGACAGGCCAAGCAGCAAAGCGCTTTCCAGGGGCCACAGAGCTCTGCTCCTTGGCTCTCCGGGTGGTGCCGAATGGATGCGACCTCACCCGTGACAGGTGCTGCCTCTGCCTCAGCTACATCCTCCCCGCTGTCCCCATGAGCTGGGAGAAGGGGAAGGCTTAGGGGTCAGGGTGAGTCGGGGGAAGGGGTCAGGGAGTGGGCTCGTGGGGGTGTCCCCCCGCCCCCGCGCTTACCTGCGAGCACCGCCGGGTCGCTCTGCCCGCCCTCGGGCTTGGCCCACACCTCCACGGTGAAGCGGTGGCGGGGCGCCTCGGCCAGGACGTGGGGCCGCGCCAGCAGCTGCTCCCGGCTGCCGGAGAAGTGCAG